CACACACACACACACACACACACACACACACACACACACACACACACACACACAAACACGTGCCTTTTTTGATAGCATAAAGAAATAACTAGACCTCTGGCATGGCTCTCTACTTTAGTTATTCTTGGCTGTGCAGCATCACTAACACTATCATAATGAGACAAATACCAGTCGACCAACTATTTCCTCTCCCCAAAACGGAAACACAAAGCTAAAAACCAATAAATCAATATCGGTCGTTAATCTCTGCCCAGTTTTACTTTTCGGACTGATACGATATTCTAAAGAAAGACCAACATCGATATATCGATGTTAATGCCAAAACATCGTGCAACGCTATTTTCACACTAGTTTCTAAGCAGCTTTGTAGATAAATATTGCAAAAGGTTAGATGAAATTTGCTCAAAATATACCTAATAGTCTGATTTGAATAACTCAAATAATCTGTTTTGTCTCCTCAGATGGGTCAGAGTTATTTGGGACAAAAAGGAGAAAAGGGTGAACCTGCAGTCATTGAACCTGTAAGTACCACTCTTAACCTTTTTGTTTATGAAATGGTGCAAGTATTAAAAATCACTTCAAAAAGCCTGGCATAGAGGAAACACAACACACCGAGGACCCTTCTAATTCAGATGGTGAGGGGAAAAGGGTTTGCGTAATTCTAATTTTATTGGGAGAAAGATGGCATAAAAACCGATTGATACCCAGCTACCCAGGTTTCACATCAACGTTTAGCTGCACTGAAGGATTTATGAGACTATAAAAGTCCTGAATCAGATTCTCTGCATATTTTCTCAGTAGTAGAGTTTCTTTTATCTTTTGAATAAATTCTTCTGTGAACGTGATCTATCTCCATATATGTTTTATTCAAAGCAACTGAACTGAAACTGATTGTTTTACTTAAGATTAGTTGTCTCACTAATGGGATTTAGTTTTGATCTTTCACCCAGTGACCTTACACCAAAATGAATCACAGGCTAGACACAAACGTTCTTAAGGAGGCCTTTTTAAATACATTACAACACTGACAAAAATAGGAGCCCTAATGGGCTTTTTCCTCCTGCACCATCTGTACCACCACATATTGGTCACAGCACATAACTTTAGGTAACTACAGTACTGCTGATACCTTCATCCTTCACCAAGTAAACTCCTCAACTTTTAACCCAAAGCACAAAAAAATGCCTTGAGTATTTTTCCCCTACTCTCCATTGCCTGTGAATTTAAGGGCTGCCATATAATGCTACTGTATCAACACTTTTTTTTTTCTTTTTCCAGGGGATGCTTTTAGAAGGACCCCAAGGAGCCCCTGGCCCAGCAGTGAGTATCACGTTCTCCCACACTCCTGTCTGCTTCTCACAGATGGAGAACAGCTAAAGAGTGGAAAAATGTCTTTATGGAAAGATTGCCGGCACTGATCGTCAGTGAAGCTTGAGCTGAGGGAAACTGTCAAACTGTGTATTTGTGCCTGAACGTCTATGTCTCTGTGTGCAGTTTGCGAGAACGATGAGGGGTTTGGGGGGTCTGTATTTTGAGCCTCATTTCTTTTGAGCTGATGGTTTTGCTTTTGTCGTTGTTGGCCTCTGCCTGTAAAGCACTGAATGTGGTGGAAATGCTGCTTAGCAGTGGTTTGGGATCATATGCTAAGTGGATTTATGTCTGATTTCAGGGTGTTCCTGGTACCCCTGGATCACAAGGATCCCCAGGTCCCCCAGGAGATCCGGGTGAGAGGGTGAGTGAACACCAACCCCTGTTTTACAACCTATTCCATATGTGTTTGAGGAATCTAGTCACACATTTTCTATTCTATTTTCTAAATGTTTAAATTTCACATTTATATTTTGCTAAATAAAGAATTAAACACACCGGCAACTGTTAGTTTAAATCTGTTGGACCATTTTGAACAAATGTTATCTCACAGTTATGAGTTAAATCTGGGTAACTATACATAATGCAGTATACTGCACATACCTGGCACTTACCTAAAATCTACTGGTTACACAGTAAAATGTGGAGTAAATTGTGCTCAATTTGAAGTAAATTTTCCAGAAAAAATACTCTACTGTTATCACACTCTGAATAGAACATATTTACATTACTCTTAAAGGAACTAAATTTTAGTATAGAGATTACTTTTATTCTGACTAAAAAGGTTTTTTTTTCTAAATAGGGTCAAATACTAGATGTTTAGGGGTACAATACATTGCATACAACTTACCTAGTACTTACCGTGCACATAAAGTGTATATACTCTGTATTTACAAAGTTTGTACCGAAAATATACCAATTTGTATTATGTGTATAGTGCTACTAAAAGCAGTGTTTCCAATAGAACAAATAAGAGCATTCAGTTCAGCCTAATATTAAAGAAGTAGGTCAGAAATGAGAGTTGTGCAGAGAAATGAAGAGCTTAAAAACTGTCAACACACCAACAAAGACCAGTTTTTAAAAACAGTTCTGCTAAGCTTTGGGATTTCTGAGACTTCCATGACATTTTTTGTGAGTTCTGCACAATCTTTGTGCCATTTTTTTCTTTCTCTCTAAGCTCAGCTCAGCTGGATCCCTGTCACTTATTTGATCGATTGGGTGACACACCAAAAAACTGCAGACTATCCTGGTTTTAAATGTTGCTTCTTTTTTGTCTTTTTTCATTTTTCATTTTTCAGTCGTGGTGTTTTTTTTTTTTTATCATCCAATAAAATCTATTCTTGTTTTAGAAGTTAACCTTTTTGATTTTTAAACCAAAATATGCCCAAATGGGCCTTCATCAATACAAGAGTTTTATTGTTCCAGAGAATCAAAGAGATCAAAGCCTATTTTGTTCAAGAAAAAGTTTCTTCTCCTTCCTTTTCTTTTTCCTCTGTGAGAGACTGTCGCTCAAAACTGACAGGAGTATTTAAATGACTGGGCTTTATAGTCTTGTGTTTTTTATTTTGCCTTTTTTTTTGGGGGGGGGGGTATCTTTATTTATTTTTTTGCTCTGTTTCAGTCTGGCGCTCAGTGTGGAATCGGCTCATTTGTCTCGTAAACGTTGCAACTGTTCTTTTGCATTAAGCACCATTGTTCCAGCTGGGTATTCTTCAATAACACTAGATGCCGCTGTGCTCATGAGCACTACACTAGAAGGAGAAAATTCACCACTGCAGGGAATAGGCAAATGGAAACACATGGCATCAATATGAGCCCGTAGGAGATTGCTGCACATGACACGACTGCTAAGTACTGTAAACATTGTGTTGTTGTTGTTTTGTTTGTTTTGTTTTTTTTTTTTCAGGAAGTAGTCAGCACTCTTTGGCTTGATCTAATTTATGATGTTGTCTTTTTTAACTAAAGGGTGTAGCATCGTGTTCTTATTCTTCCAGCTCAGAATAAAGAACTTTTACACAGTTGGAACCAGCCTCACGTGGCCATCGGTGGAACTGCAGTTTGTGTTTTTGCAATAAGTTGCCACAGATTTCTGATCATCGTGTTTTATAAAGAATGCTCTTTAAAGTCATGGTTTAATTGTGAAGTCAGTGTTTTTTACAGGCAACATTTTCAGAAGTTAATTCTGTTGAGTTTTTTTTTTTTTTGTAGTAAAATAGGTTATTTATCGGTTCAACTAAAACAATAATTCTTTAAAGTTTTCTTTAAAATCTACTTTAGTTCTTCATTCGCTCCAAGTGTTATTTCTCAGGCTGTTATCCTTTAGTTTCTAAGATGGCCTGAAATTTATTTTTAGAACTGTCAAAATGAATATGTCACCTCAAAATATAAAAACTTCTGATCTGGTGTGATTCATGCAGAATATTGTTTCTTCACAAGTCACCATAATAATAACTGATAATTAGAAAACAGTAATTTAAATGTCTTCAAAATACAGTAATATCTTAAGTATGTTTGTGTAGCGTTAGTGTAGCTATTGATGTTTTTGTATCTGGTTTACCTACACCCAAACCTGCATCCATCTCCTTCCCTTCTGCCATCCCTACACCCTACCCTAAGTTATGGAGGGTTTTTTGTACCATTATGTTCTTGTAGGGACACAGTATGAGGTCTTTTTTTTTGTCTCTCATCTATCCTCATGTTGGCTATTTTTTAATGCAAAGGCAGTGCCTTCTGTATGGCTGCTGCCTCTTGCCCCCCCCCCACCCCCTGTTTTGTGCCTTTTGGATTGGTTGCATTAATTTCGTTGTGCTCTGTGCAATAACAAATAAAACCATACAATTTAGTTCATTCAATTAATTGTGTTGTTTTGTATTGAAACAGAACATACTGATATGTACTTTGAGAAGAAACCGCTTTTTCTTTTCTTTTTCCTTCCTAAGGGTCCTCCAGGGCGTCCTGGTATTCCTGGCTCAGACGGTGTCCCTGGGCCTCCAGGTACCGTTCTGATGCTCCCAGTAAGTCCTGCTACTTTCCACACATCCACTCAGCAATTTTTCTTATTTTCCTTACATATTGCACTACCTCCATCGCAGGCGTTTGCCCATAAACTCACTTCAGTTAGTACATTTTACCACGTTAGATGAACAGTATAGGCCAAGGATTGCAACCTTATTTTCTTTGGGTTACAAATCACTTACGTTGTAAATGTCAGCCAGTTCAATGGAGTGGAACCTGTGACGGAGAGTTTGAACCGCTCAGTGACACATATTTGTGTGAGTGGATGTATGTGCCTGGGTTTAGGAAGGACGAGGGAGGTTTACAAGTCTGATCACAGGGAAAGTTTTTTAAACACTCACCAGGGGTGACCGTTAGATGTCTTAGTCTATAAAAGCAAAGCAAGTCCATTTATTTTTAATTGTGCTTTTGATATATTTATTTTTGCGTGTGTGTTTGACAGTTCCGTGCTGGCGGTGAGGCACATAAAGGACCTGTGGTTACAGCCCAAGAAGCTCAGGCTCAGGCCATCCTGTCTCAAGCTAGAGTAAGTGCTACTGATCATTTTCACCCTTAATTACTATTTTCTGCTTCTTATTATACTCCAGCTGCAATTTACTTTTAACCAGGTGCTATTAAGACAAAATTTGGGTTTAAGTTTTTCAGAATTACTATAATACTTACATCAGCTTTTGCAGCTAATCTTATAGAAACGCTTCTTTTTTAATCTTCACAATCTGAGGCAAATAATGAAGGAGAAGTCACTGTTCATGAGTCCCAGTCTTTATATAAATTGCCTAAATTACACAATATGGACCTGATTCAGGCTGGAGTGGCTGCAGAACCGCAGCAGATGTTGACACCCTCTCGGGGTTTTCTCACAACTGCAAGGACCGCTGCAAAATGTTCCAGCGCTTTTCGTTTTACTGTGATCCCATGTCGACACGTGGAGGTCATTCAGTACAGCACAAACGCCAAATGTTTACATATTTAAAATACTTTGAAGCTGATAGAGCACGAAAAACTGTGTTTTGCTATGTCAAAGCTTTTGTCACCTTTCAGTATCAAAACTTTCCAGCCAAAATTTACGCATGTAGAAGAATAGATGGGGGGATTTATATATATATATATATA